CTTCCTATCTATACCTTCTGGCTAATAGCCACTGATGGATCTCTGCTCCATATAAGAACCTAAGAGAAGCCAATGTTGGATCAGGCCAGTGGCTCATCCAGTCCAACACTCTGTGTTACACAGTGGCCAAAAATACCAGGTGCCATCAGGAGGTCCACCAGTGGGGCCAGGACACCGGAAGCCCTCCCACTGTTGCCCCCCCCAAGCACCAAGAATACAGAGCATCCCTTGCCCCAGACCGAGAGTTCCTATCTATACCTTTTGGCTAAGAGCCACTGATGGAACTCTTCTCCATATATTTAACCAATTCCCTCATAACATAAGAACATAAGAGAAGCCAACGTTGGATCAGGCCAATGGCCAATCCAGTTCAAGGTATTTATACCTTGTGGCTAATACCTACAACATACCCGAAAGATGGCCGCCCAGCCTCTGCTTGAAAACGTCCAGCGAAGGAGCATCCACCACCTCCCGAGGCAGACTGTTCCACTGCCCAACCACTCTTACAGTTAGGAAATTTCTCCTGACATTTTGCTGGTATCGACTCCCTTGTCATTTCCACCCGTTAGATCTAGTCTTGCAATCCGGAGCAAGAGAGTATAGATCCGCTCCACTGGAAATCCGTCATTGCATGGTTGTTTGGAAGTTGTTTGGAAGCAGCAGCAGCAGCGTTGCATGACATGAAATAAAAGAGCAAAAGAAGGAGCAAGTTTGTGGACTGTGACTGTGATGGAATCAATTTTTTTTCCCCATGGTGGACTTTGGTGGGGAACATCCAGGTGGTGGCTGGAGATGTCCTCGGTTTAGAACTGATCTCCAGCCAACAGAGATCAATTCACCTGGAGAACCTGGCCACTCTGGAAGGTGGACTCTATGGCACGGTGCCCCCTTGAAATCCCTCCCCTCCCTAAACCCCACCCCCTCAGGCTCCACCCCCCAAAAAAAATCTCCAGGTATTTTCCGACCCAGAGCTATCAATTCTACCCTCCACTGGGTAGTGGGCAAGAATTAAACTACCCTTCTGACAGGGCCAGTTGCATCAGCGTTTCTTAGCAGGATGAGAGCCTAATGGGAGGGTTGCCAGCTCCAGGCTGTGAAATTCCTGGAGATTTGGGGTGGAGCCTGGGGGAGGAGGAGCTTGAGGAGGAGTGGGGCCTCCATGAGGTATGCCATAGAGTCCGCTCTCCAGAGCAGCCATTTGCCTCCAAGGGAACTGACCGCTGTCAACTGGAGATCAATTGTAATCCTGGGAGATCTCCAGGTCCCACCTGGAGGTTGGCCACCCTAGTAGGGAAGGTCCCAACTTCTAAGTTGTTCTCCAAAAAATCTGGACTCCGTAGGTAAGCAGAGAGTAGGCCTAGACATCTTTTCAGCTCTTTCCGGGACCGCCGCTGTCATCTGGAGATCAATTGTAATCCTGGGAGTTCTCCAGGTCCCACCTGGAGGTTGGCAGCCCTAGTAGGGAAGGCCCCAACTTCTAAGTTGTTTTCCAAAAAGTCTGGACTCCGTAGGTAAGCAGAGAGTCGGCCTAGACATCCTTTCAGCTCTTTCCGGGACCTCATCAGCTGCCTCTTCTGTGGCGATTGTAGGGCGCTTCTGTGCCTAGCATTCGCTCGACATCAATCCTTTCCGCACTAGGCCTCAAATCCTGGTCCACCCCTGTCCCCGAACTTACATTCTACACTACACACGAGTTCACCCCTGTAATTATCTTGTGGTATTTTTTTGTTTCCACATTACATTGAGGTCACCCCAGTTTCGCCCCACACATGTCCCAGGATAAAGAAGAGAAGAAAAAGAAGAGATTGGATTTATACCCTGCCCTTCACTACCCCAAAGGAGTCTCAGAGTGGCTTACAAACTCCTTTCCCTTCTCCTCCACACAACAGACACCCTGTGAGGTCGGTGGGGCTGAGAGAGCTCTGACAGAAATTGCTCTTTTTCAAGAACAGCTCTTATCAGAACTACGGCTTGCCCAAGGTCATCCAGCAGGTGCAAGAGGAGGAGTGGGGAATCAAACCCGGTTCTCCCAGATTAGAGTCCGCGCACTTAACCACTACTCCAAACTGGCTCCTAAAAGGATGCTGTTATAACCAGGGATAAATGCAAGGTACTGTATCGTGAGTTAAACTCTGATACAACCAGGGATGATATCCAAGTGCGGAAAGGACCATTTTCTCAACAGGGAGGAAAAAGTGCAGCTCAAAATTACATTCAAATACCTCGGGGCAATGCCGTAATGACTGCAATATCACCCCCAAACGGCCATAAATCTACGCAGAAGGTAGCATAAAACCCAACGATCAAAGCAAGCGAAAGCTACATGCAATGCAGAGGGGAATTTCTGTTCCAACATGGGTTTTGTAAAACGACAGAGGGAAAAGCCAATGCAGAATCGCCCATAGCATCCAATATAGTCCTCCACTCGCCTTTGGGTTCACACACACACACACACACACTCGGTTCGAACGGCCAGATTGCAGGCAGGGAAGCATCTCTGGGCATTCCCGTCCATCTGTCCTGCAAGGGGGAAAGTGCCGTTCCCAGCAAGTTCCTGCCCAGGTTGGCCGGGCCTCATCATCCGAGCCGAGGTCCGTGGATCAGCCAGTTCGCTGGACTCTCCCTTTGAATAAGACTCCCCATATTTTACTCCTGGCAACTTTGCCGAACAAGGGAGATCGGACGCCCGGAGCTGCAGCCCTTGCAGATTTCTAGATCCTTTACTGCCTTGCTAAATCATTTATTTAATGTAGCCTTTTTACATAATCCGGAGGGGGGGGTACATAAAATAGATTTATCACGACGACACCCCACACACACACACGCACCTCGTCCTCCCACCCACCTTCTTCAGCCCAGTAGATATATTTCTCTGATTATTAATTAACGTGGGCACGGGAGAAGTTCGGAGCATTTAACCTCTCGTTTTCTCTCTGCCTCTTTGGCATATCCGGACGGGTGAGGCTTGTCTGGGCCTTTACAGGCTAAACTCCTTCGTGGTGCCAAGATTTTTTTTTTTCAACCCACACCTGCTCCTGTGCAGCTTAACCCACAAGCAGGGTTGCTGACTAATGTTCCCAACTCTGGGCTGGGAAATTCCTGAAGATTTGGGGGTGGAGCTTGGGGAGGTCAAAGTCTGAGGAAGAGGAAGTGATGTCATAGAGCCCACCCCCTAAAGCAGCCATTTCCTCCAGGGGAACTAATCTCTCGAAGCTGACTTATGGCAGCCCCATAGGGTTTTCAAGGCAAGTTATTAAGCAGTGGTGGTACCTATATGTAATGGTGGCTGGCAAAGTCTGTCTCTGTGTATCTGAAGAAGTGTGCACGCACCAGTCCCCATAGGGTATAATGGAGAATCGATCTGTGGGTATCTGGGGCTCGGGGGGGGGCTGTTTTTTGAGATAGATGCACCAAATTTTCAGCAGCGCTGCTGGTGACTCTCCTCCAGAAAAAAAAAAAACAGTTTCAAAAAGATTGGACCAATAATGTGAGCCCCAAAAGAAGGTGCCCGCATCTTCCATTATTTCCAATGGTGGGGAAGCATTTAAAAGGAACACGGCCCCTTTAAATGCGACGGCAGCTCACCTGGAACCCGGAAGCTGCCATCTTTGTGAGTGTGTCTCGGTGAGAGGTGAAAATATGAACATGTGAAACTGCCTTCTAGTGAAACAGGCCCCTGGTCCATCAAAGTCAGTATCGTCTACTCCAACGGGCAGGGGCTTTCTGGTGTCTCGGGCTGAGGTCTTTCACATCACCTGCTGCCTGGTCATTTTAACTGGAGATAGCAGGGATTGAACCGGGGACCTTCTGCAAGCCGAGGAGATGTTCTGCCACTGAACCGCCACCCCCCTGGTTGGATAGTGTTCTCCTTTCCTTGGCCCTGCTTCTCGCTGCAATTTTCTACCCAAGCGTAAGTCCCAAACCATTCATGGCGACAGGCTTATGTTTCTGCCCTGTGGTTGACACATTCTCAAATCTGAATTTATTAGCATGGAGATGCAGACACCCTGCGCCCTTCTGTTGAACATGCTCTTCAGACTTCCACTGCTCCTGCAAAACTGGGATCATCTAAAGCCCCCCTGTTTTAACACGGGCCTTCCGCCTCCGCTCACATCCACCTTCTCATCTCATCTGCCCAGGATCCAGGGCTTTACCCACATCGTTCAGTTATGTCCCTACGTGTATCTCCCCACACTTTGCGATCTTGAAATCTGATTACCAGCGACAATTCTGTGTTCGTGGACACATGAAGTTGCCTTATACTGAATCAGACCACAGGCATAGACAGCTTTAAACGGGGATTAGACAGATTCGTGGAGGAGAGGTCTACCGGCAACTACTAGCCTTGGTGGCTCAAAGTCCATGTTCAGAGGCAGTCAAACTCTGCATCCCAGTGCCAGAAGTCAACATCAGGGGAAGGCCTAGGCCTCTATGCCGTGTTACTGGACTTCCAAAGGAACTAGTTGGCCATTGTGTGAGCCAGGAGGCTGGACTAGATGGACCCTCACTGGTCTGATCCAGCAGGGCTCTTCTGATGTTCTTATCTTCTCAGACTCTTGGTCCATCAGGGTCAGTATTGGCTGTGCAGTCTGGCAGCAGATCTCAGGGCCTCTGGTAGAGGTCTTTCTAATCCCCTACAACCTCATCCTATAAACTGGAGATGCCAGGGATTGAACCTGGGACCTTCTGCACATCAAAGCCCTGAGCCCCAGCCTTTCCCCAGTTCCTCTCTAACTCTGTACTGCTATCCATCTCAGCCAAGACTCCACTGAAGTCAGGGTCTATTCACACCACTATGGATACCCCCTGAGATTTGCTCCGCCAGAGAAACACACACCCCGCGCCACATTTAGCAACATCTCTGGCAATGCCCACGCCCACCAGTTCCTCTGCCCGCCCACTCTTCATGTCCATCCTTAAAGTGGTCTTGTGTGTGGTTTGTTAGCCCTGCGGCCCCCTTCAGCTGGTTGAACCCTGCGCCTTGCCTCGTGTCTTGACAGGTTTTGTGAGTTTTGACAATCCGGCCAGTGCCCAGGCGGCCATCCAGGCTATGAACGGCTTCCAGATTGGCATGAAGAGGCTGAAAGTGCAGCTGAAAAGGCCGAAGGATGCTAACCGCCCCTACTGAAGCATGGTGGGAAACACTGGATAAGCAAGGTCTAGCACAGGTAACTGCTGGGGGGGGCGGCGGGCAGGGACCATCACCTGTCGTCCAGTAGCATCTCTTGTGTCGTGGATCCTAACCGTTCAATCTCTCAGGTTCTCTAACACCTTCCTTCTCCTCTAGAACCATACTTAGAAGCATACCCATGAAACAGGATCTGGCCTCTGTGGGATGGAGTGGGAGACGCAAGATGGATCTGGCGATCTTGGCTAATTCCGCACACGTGGGAGAATGCACTTTCAATGCACTTTTGCAATTGTTTGCAAGTAGAGTTTCCTGTTTCACACAAGAAAACCCGGCTTCAAAGGATTGCTAAAGCGCATTGAAAGTATATTATCCAACGTGTGTGAAATTAGCCCTTGTGTTTATCGGGCCATCCATTTTGTCACACTCCTTCCTCCAACCGAAGGGAGTCGATGGTTCCAAAAAAATGAGATTTGGAGACTATTTCTCTCTCTGGGACTGACTCGGTCATTTAAAAACGGTAGACAGAAAGGGGTCGTAGAAGGGGTCTGTGGCTTCCTGCATCGTGGGGACATCTACACAGACTGTACCCTACCGTCACACAGATACCCCATCACCACAACTGTTCCCATCGCTGTGGGCTGAAATAGATTATGGGAGCAATCCACTAGAGGTGTCTCCTTCCCCAGCCCTATTCAAATGACGGGGAGCGGCACCTCTTCTGGAAGGGTGGGCAAGGCATAGCTGGGTGTTCTTTCTGAAGTCTCGTTCATTCCAGTAGTGTCACCGTTGAATTGTGGATTTTTTCGTGGTCAGTGGTTACGGAAAGACACATGAGTCAGATCGTGGTTTTAGTAGAGCAGGAGAAGCGGTTCTGTTGATAACTCGCTCTAGTTCGGTGTTATAAACCTGTTGAAACGTTTTTCGTTCCTCGTCTGGAGCGCTCGTTACGGTGTGATGTCTTTTCGCCGGGATGATAAAAGGGGGTTGCTCCAACTGGGGGTCGGTACATTTATGTCTTGCAAAAGAGCAGTATTTGGCCGACTGAGAACACAGAGGAAACTTCTTCAGGGCCAGTAGCCACTGGGGTATGGGGCGCTTGACCTAAGTGCCCATCCTGTAGGGCAGGGTTCCCCAACATAGTCCCTGTGGGCACCATGGTGCCTGCCGACCCTTTTCCCGGTGCCCAGAAAGTGTTTTTAAGTTGTGGTGAGGGCCACGTGGGGCTTTTTTGCCCTGTAACCCTTCTGATTGGCCATTGGAGAGTTGATTGACTGTGCAGATTTTTTAAAAACCCTTGCTTTGGCAGCAGCTATCACCACCCCATCTTCAATGTGTGGCTGAGGGCATCTTCATTTTGTGGCTGACTCTACCTCCTCCAGCAGCCATTTTGTGACTGCGCCTACCACCCTGTGTCAGAATTCTACAGGCGTCTGTAGGCTCAAAAAGGTTAGGGGACCTCTGCTCTGCCGAGCACCAAGCTAGCTGTTAAGTGCCCCAACCGCTGTTGTGTGACCTTCATCCTGCCCATCGGGGATAATTATTACCTCAGTCTTACCTAGAATAGTGAGGGGGAAGTAAGGAGAAAAAGATAGACATGTCCCAGATCGATGGGTTATAGTAGTACCTACGTCAGCAGTGCCAGTTTTGAGTTAGGGTGCCATAAGAGAGCATCTTCAATGTATGCTGTCCTTTGCTGAGTCCTTTCTCCCCAAACCCCAACCAATCTCATTTTCAAGAAAAGGATTAGAGTCCAGGCCCTTCAAGCTGAACGCAACAGCGCTAAAGCTCCCACTGAAGTTCAGAGAAGTTGTGCCTGTGTTGAGGACCTGGCAGTGCCCCGATAAGAGCATTATGACATGATCCACAGCCAAGACTGGTTGTTCTTGAGCGGCGACTGATTATGAAGCTGCAGAGAGACTTTCAGGGCCGAGTTCCCAGAAGGGAGCTTTTGAGCAACCGTGAAACGTGACCGGCTTATCTGCCCTTTCTGCTTGCCCCTCATGTCCTAATAAAGAATTGTCTGGGATGAGCAATCCAGGGTTTGTGGCTTCTGTGCGTTCAGACAACACTCTAATAGCTGCCGTTATCCCATGACAGAATGTTTTAGCTCCATGACAGAATGTTTTAGATGTGAACTCGTTGATGCATCTTCGGGTTTTAAAAAAGCATGCAGTGGACACAAGAGTTGTGTGTCTCTCTGGTAGTAAAATGGAGTTGTGACTTTCCTTGAATGATAACTGGCAGCAATATTGCACATGACCGGTGCTTGCCAGGGAGGCAGATTGTGGCAGGCAGGTGATGCGGGCTAATAGACCTTGCTGTTCCTCAGAATCCACTCTCCATGCTTTGGAAGTATGACTCAGGAGTTGCTGATGGTTATTCTGCTGTAGACAATCACACAGGGCAATCTTCTATCTCGCATTGGCCCTGCACAGGAGGATAAAGCAGCTCTCGGGGGGGGGGGTGTGCTCAATATAAACCGAGCTGAAAAAATACCTGAAAAATACCTTAATCTGTATTTTTTCAGGTATTTTCTCAGCTGGTTAATGAGTGGGCTACTGATTCTGCTATCCGAAAATAACCTTCCCGAAAATATTCAGGATTTTTGGTACTGTCGAATAGCCACAGTTAAATGGCATTTAAAGGGCTCGCAGTCCCTTTAAATGCCTTCAGAGTGAACTCTCAGCTTGGAGAAGACATTTAAAGGGTCTGTGAGCCCTTAAATGCCTTTGGAGTACATTTGCCACAGAGTCGCACACTTGGAGAAGGCATTTAAAGGGACCATGATCCCTTTAAATGCTTTTTCCCTCCATTGGAAACAATGGAGGATAGGGGCACTTTCTTCTGGGGCCCATAAAATTGGACCCCCTGGTCCAATATTTTTGAAACTAGATGTGTTTTTTGAGGAGATGCACCAGCAGCTATGCTGCAAATTTGGTGCCTCTACCTCAAACAATAGCTCCCCCAAACCCCAGGTACCCCTGGAACAATTCTCCATTATGACCTATGGGGACCATTGACTATAATGGTCCCCACAGGATACAATGGAGCTGAAAAATCTGGCAATCCGAATATTTACCGATTCTGAATACCAAACTGGTATTGGGATTCGGGAATATTGGGAAATACCTATATTTTTCAGGTTCAGTATACCTAAACCCAAAAAATACCAATTTATTTTTGCACACTCCCACAGCTCTCCTACCTGGGTTGCTTTTGCAGTTCTTAGAATTTGTTCATCCACCAGACAATTCAGCTGCAATAGTCATATTTAGAAGAACCAGCTGTCACGACCCCAGTGGGTTGCCACCTTCTGCTGCCACCACCCTGGACTTCGGTCTCTTGAGAAGGCCCAGGGTACCTTCCCAAGCCCCTTCAAATTGCCCCTTTGTACCCAAGAAATGTAAGCGTGATGACCAGGCAGAGAAACAATTGAACAAAAAGGGTTTATTATTACGGTACTGGGCAGGGGGAAAACAAGACAAGACAAGGGACTTTAAAATACATAACAGTGTCGAAATGCCAAAAGAAACACAAAGCTAACACAGCTACCAATTACTCCTTAACTGTTACTACTCAAGCCCCACAGCTCTCTTATGCCCGGCTTTTCTCTGTACTCACTGTCCCCAGTGAGGGATCTTTCTCCCACACCAGTCTCCTCTGCTCAGCTCTGTGAGAGGCAAACCGCTAAGAGGAAAAGAAACCAGTTTAACTGACCACCAAGTATATAAACAATCTCCTCAGAGAATTCCTCGACCCCCATTGGTCACCGCTGATGCAAAGCCTTGTGGGGATTGTAGGCTGTCTGCTTCCCACTCCCAGGCAGGTCTCTGAGGCCTCACTAGGCCTAGTCCTGCACAGATTCTCCAGAGGCCTACACAGATCATGACACCAGCCTTTGAGTTTTTAAACCTTTGAATTAGTAGCTCTCTTTAATAATATCCATATGGGCAAAAGCACACACAAAAACCACCTTTCAGAGGTTTCCTCAAGTGCCCTTTTCATTTCATTTCACTTCATTCATTTATTTACGTCATTTCTACTTCACCTTTCTCACAGGGACTCAAGAAAATGGGATGGGATTTTAGAAGTTTGGAACCATTAGAAAGAACTGAAGCTTTGCATAAGTATTCACACGACACATAAAGAGGTACCGAAATGTCTTAATAGGACCCTACTCACAGTGAGCTGTATGCAGCAGTACAGACCTCATAAGAACACAAGAACATCAGAGAAGCCAATGTTGGATTCAGGCCCATGGCCCATCCCGTCCAACACTCTGTGTCACACAGTGGCCAAAAATACCAGTGCCATCAGGAGGTCCACCAGTGGGGCCAAGACACTAGAAGCCCCCCCACTGTTCCCCCCCCTCCAAGCCCCAAGGATACAGAGTATCACCTGCCCCAGACCGAGAGTTCCTGCCTATACCTTGTGGCTAATAGCCACTGATGGACTTCAGCTCCATATAAGAACATCTATAAGAAGAGTAGCCAATGTTGGATCAGGCCAATGGCCTATCCAGTCCAGCACTCTGTCACACAGTGGCCAAAAATACCAGGTGCCATCAGGAGGTCCACCAGTGGGGCCAGGACACTAGAAGCCCTCCCACTGTTGCCCCCCCCCCAAGCACCAAGAAGACAGAGCATCCCTTGCCCCAGACTGAGAGTTCCTATCTATACCTTGTGGCTAATAGCCACTGATGGACCTCTGCTCCATATAAGAACATAAGAGAAGCCAATGTTGGATCAGGCCAGTGGCCCATCCAGTCCAACACTCTG